GTGGCTTCGGCGCTGTCCTGTTACGCCACGACTTCCACCCTCGGCATCAGCGCTTGCTGAGGGCCCTGCAAACACTCCTGGTCCTGCAGCCGCGGAGGAGAAGACCTAGCACCTTCATCTTGCAGGACGTGGCTGAGATACAGTCAGCGTCTGGATAGGTAGGAAATAACGTTGCGGCGCTGCTGGAGCTCATCGGGAGACCTTACAGGAAAGGAAGGCATTTTGTTTATAAATAAAATTGATTTTGCTCTGGCGGTCGCACCATCACAAGCCCCCCTGAACTCCCAAGCACCAAGACGTGTGCCTGGGTGGTCCAGCCAGGTTTCCTTGTGACAATGCTGAGGACGAGGGACTGCAGCTGTTGCATCCTCATCACATCTCCCGGGCTTTTCATAGAGCCATTAAGGTTGGAGAAGACCTCTAAGATCATCAAGTCCAACCATTCATAGGTTGGTGGCCATGTATCAGTGTTGGATGGAGCTCTTGGACTTGATGATCTTGGAGGTCTTTTCCAACCTATGATTCTGTGATTTTCACTCCGTCCTGTTCCCCTTCTCTGTGAGTTACAAGGATTCACTCCCTAGCTGTTGTCTTTCAACCCTGGTGTCCCAACAAGCTGCTGGTAGGTGTGAACAAAGAGCTTGAGGACCTGCTGACCATGGTGCATCACCACCAGCTGTTTTGCCTCTCTCCTCCTGCCTTCTTCTGCTTAGGAACATTAAGGTTGGAAAAGAACTCTAAGATCATCAAGGCCAACCATCACCCCAAAACCACTATGCGTGCTAAACCATGTCCTGAACTGCCACATCTGCATGGTTTTTGAACCCCTCCAGGGATGGGGACTCCACCACTGCCCTGGGCAGCCTGGTCTGATGCCTGATCACTCTTTTCAGTGCAGACATTTTTCCCAATATCCAACCTAAACCTCCCCTGACGCAACTTGAGGCCATTGCCTCTCGCCCTATCACTGGTTACTTGTGAGAAGGCGGCTGCTTCCACAGCCAGATGGTTCCTGATCAACCTCCATCAAGCTCAGTCTCAACGTTTCTACTGTAGATACCTCCACACAGATGCCGTTCGAGTCCTCCAAGCCAACCTGCAGCTACCACCAAAGCCGTCCGTCCCACCCCAAGCTGCTGTGCGTCACCGACTTCTCAAAGAGAGATCTGTGCTGGTGGCTCTTGTGGATCCCCAGTTGTCTGATGCTCACGGATGTTGGAGAAGAGGCAGAAAACCTGTGCCTGCTGCTCAGGCACCAGAAACGGGCGTCCCTGCAGGGCCCGGGGCTGCTGCCCGCTCATGGGTGTTCCTGTGCAGCGCCTGGTGCAGATCTGTCCCACGACAGATAATGTCACCGCCTCGCTGCTGACGTGTGCTCTCCCACCGACTGCTCCGCAGCGCTGAGCCTTCACCAACACCCTGCTAAGGAAGATTTTACTTTATTTTCGTTCTTAACCTGGGTGTGAACGAGCTCGGTGCAAGACAGAGAGTGAGGAACACGCGATCTGTCGATGGGCAGCGTTTGCCCATGGCTCCTCGGGGCCGGCAGGTCCGCTCCCCCTGGGGCCGTGCAGTTCAGCTCTCCGGGCTTTGCTCCTCCAAATATTAAAGTTATTTAAAAGCAGCCGCTCTGCTCCCCATCCGAGCTGCCACGGCGGGGTTTCGGCTGCATGATGGAATCCTAGAACCACGGAATGCTTTGGGTTGGAA